GTGGGGGGGGGGGGATTAAAGGGTTTGTGGGGTCCGTATGCGGTCAGACAAACAAGTGGGGTTCAACTTACAGAAGCTGTGAGGTCACGCTGAGAAAGGTTCGCCATAGGTTCATATTTAGGTGTGCAGTGTGTGTTTAAAGGGTGTTTATATTTCGTGGTCAAATAGATTATGAATAAGTTTTTTTTTTTTTTTTTTATGTGGGACAGGGTATCTATGCGTGACGTAATCGCTGTAGGTAATCTGCATGGTCACTAAATGGCACGAGGGGTCTTATTCAGGGTCAGACTTTGCGAATAGTCCTTGTAGTAAGTGCACATATAAACAAAAATATGATGATAATGATGTTAATTAACAATGATGATGATGATGAGGCTAGGTTGATAACGATGGTCATCGATGATATTGATAATCGTGTTAATAATATAATAATAAAATGAAAACGATGATATTAGTAATAATGATAATATGATTATTGATGATAACAATAATAATGATAGGGATAAAAATAGTGTTATTACTATTACTACTACCACTACTGCTATAATAGTGGTAGTGGTAATAAAATCAATAGTGATAATAACAATAAGAAGATAATAATAATGATAATAATAATAATAATAATAATAATAATAATAATAATAATAATAATAATAATAAATAATAATAAATAATAATAATAATAATAATAATAATAATAATAATAATAATAATAATAATAATAATAATAATAATAATAATATAATATAATAATATAATAATAATAAATATATAATAATAATAATAATAGAATAATAATAATGATAATAATAATAATAATAACAGGATAATAATAATAATAATGATAATATATAATGATAATAGAACTACGGCTAGCGCGAGTGTCCCGCTCTTATGATAATGATAATGATAATAGTAATAACTGATAATAATGATAACGATTATGATAATAATAATAAAGAAATTAATAAGAATAATTATATTAATGCTAATGATGATGACAGTAATAATATAATTCAATAATGCTAATGATGATAATTATCACAACAATGCTAATAATAATGATAATGATAAGTGATTTTCATTTCAGGGAAACCAAAATTCATATTCCCAATATCAAGATAGAACAGTATAAATGATGTACTTAGACTATAAGGAGGAAAATCTGTAACAAGTGAATAAACATAATGCAACAAGTCCGGGTATTATTAAAAAAAAAAAAAAAAAAAAAAAAAAAAAAAAAAAAGGTGAATGTATGACTGATCTGCAGAACATTGAAGGTCAGGAAGGGAAAATGACGAATGCTTATAAGGTTAAAAATAAAACATTAATGGTAAAGAGAAGTTTTTGGTAACTGTCCATATATCAAGTGCAATGGGTTGCCTGTGCGTGGAAAATGAAAATATGACAACCATAACAACACAGAAAAACCTGCAAAGTACCAGTTGACAAATAGTAGCAAAGTCCATTGGCACCGTAACTAGAAAACGGTTTACTGTCACAATCCAAGTGAAAAGAATGTAGACACAATCGACGTAGAGACAGAAAAAAAAAAGAAAAAAAAAAGAAAGCTAAATGAAATAGGTTTGGTACAATGACTTTAAATTGATTCGCGTATTTTCCTATTCCCGGGAGCCACTTCTTGCCACACTGCAATAAGGAGAGATTGTGTACGTCGTCATACTTGGGAGCGATCGGACACGCGATGGCAGGGGACGCGTGAGTGCAAGTTGGCGCGTAAGAGGAAGCGCCGTAGAAGTCCGTCATAAGGAACCGGAATTCTCCTTTCGCAGATCTGAAGCGCGCATTTAGAATATTTGCAAAGTTAGGCGACACACACACACACACACACACACACACACCACACGCACACGCAACACACACCACGCACACACACACACACACACACACACACACACACACACACACACACACACACACACACACACACACACACACACACACACACACACTATCACGTACATCCAAAACACGCAAGACCACAATATTAGCCAAAGTATTTTGCATGTTGATCTGCAATCCGCCGAGCCGGAAACGAAGCCATGTCCTTGAGGGGAAAATCGGCCAAAATGTGGCTTCCGTTTTATTATTATGCCAAAGAACTTATGTTTTTTGGTAGCGTTGGTTAGTTAGATTGTTTGTCTGGACAGATTTTTATGAAATGTTTACTAGGGGTGTGTCTTGGGTTACCTTAGATGCCATTAAGTGATTGTGATCCTGATCCTGATCCGGATCCTGGAATTCTTTAAATGATTGCATCAATTACCCGCAATGCCAATGCAACTGAGGTAGCAATTATCATTATGTTTACGGACGTCACCAGTGGGCTTGAGAAAGAGGTGATTTTGATGCAATTCTTCAATTGTGAATATTTCTATTGCATCAATGCCTTGGCGGAGGTATGCGCTCTCTGAGTGCTTCTAGTTATTATCATTATTATCATTGTTATTATCATTATCATTATCATTTAATATTATCATTATTATTATAATTATCATTATTATCATTATTATTGTTGTTATTGTTATTATTATTATTATTATCATTATTATTATTATTATTATTATATTCAATTTATATTATTTTATTAATTATCATCATTAATCATTGTTATTAATACCATTATTATTTTTTATTATCATTAGCATAATTATCATTGTTATTATTATTGTTATTGTTATTATCATCGTTGTCATTATTGTTATTATCATCATTGTTATTATCATTATTATTACTACGACTATTATCATTATCATTATCATTATTATCATTATTATTGTGATTACCATTATTGTTATTATTATTATTATTATTATTATTATTATTATTATTATTATTATTATTATTATTATTATTATTATTATTATTATTATTATTGTTGTTATTTAATCATCCTTATTATTATCATTATTATTATCATCATCATTATTAGTATAAGTATTGTAATTATTATCATAATAATGATAATAATAATTATAATGTTAACAATAGTAGTCATAATGGTAATATTAGATATTATAATTTTCATTATTAGCATCATTATTGCTATTATTATTATTATTATAATTATAATTATTATTATTATTATTATTATTATTATTATTATTATTATTATTATTATTATTATCATATATCATCATTATCATTATTTTCTTCTTCTTATGATTATTATTTTCACTATTATTATTATTATTATTATTATCATCATTATTGTTGTTATTATCAATATTATTATTATTAATATCTTTACTTTTTTTCTACTATAATTGCTATTATCATTTTTGTCATAGTTATTATTGATATTGTTTTAATCAGTATTATCATTATTGTAAGTTTATTATTACTATCTTCATTGTCATCATCACCAAGGTGATAGTAATAATGATGATATTCATAATAATAGTATTAAATATGATTATTATCATTATCATTACTACCACGATCACTACCACTATTACCACCACTACTACTACTATTATTTTAATTATTAGTCTTTATACACAATACACACCCATGGTCTTCTGGATCTACTTTATCATCATATTCTGCAACTTCATGTTAAAGACGGTAGTTAAGTTTCTTTTCCTTCCCAATTTGGTTAAGATGTCAATGGATAGTCGAGGAATTCGTGGGTAAAATCCAGCCTATTTCTCTCCCTGCTGCTGTGATCCTTATTTGGCTTTGCTCATTAGGAGGTTTCTGCCTTGGTCTCTTTCGGTTTCTGATTTCCACTCGATAATGATGATAATGATGATAATGATAATGATGATCATGATAACAAAACGCTAATAAGGAGTGAAAGTGATGGTAACAATGGTAATGATAATAATGATAATGAAAAGTATGGTAACAATAATAACGATAAGATAATAATGATAATGATATTGATGACAATAATTATGATAACGTAATAATAATAATAACAATAAGGATATTGATAATAAGATTGATAGTAATAATGATGATAATAACAATGATAAGAACGATGATAATAACAATGATAAGAACGATGATAATAAAATGATAAGTATGATAACGCTAGCAATAGTGTCAATAATGTTGATGAAAATGAGGGTAATAATTTTAGTAATGTCAGTGATAATAATAATGAGAGTAGCAACAATAACAATAAAGATGACTAAGATAGTAGTTGTAGTTTTAGTAGGAGTAATGGTAATAATAATGAGAACATTATTACTAAATGGTGGCATTCATAAATCCGGCAACCTCCGGAGTTGCGCAGTGCCGGATTTTCAAAGATTATATTTTTTTAATGATTATATATGCTGTATACATTTAATAGAAAGTGACTACATGCACAGTCCTTTATGGAAAGAAATTAACCATTGAATGAAAAGCATATGTCATGTTTCAAAAAGCTCATATGTTTCACAAATGTACGCACAGACAAGCCGCTATTATTATCATTATTATCATTTTAGTTTTTCCACTTTCTCTACGACCACCAACGCACGATGTTTGCGTTTCACACGACCTCTTTCCTTTGCTGAATCCACCATGGGGCTATACAGCATAAGATATATGAGTAGGAATGAGCTGGAAGGCCTTTTAGCGCGGGCAAGCAAGCTCCAACAGCTGATTCTGGAGCGCAGCGCTGTCAAATCATAAGGGACGATTCTGGAAAACAGTGGCGCACTAACACGGGAAAATGCTCTCCGAAATCAATGCCGGAAATCTGAAGGAATCGGATTGTCGATGGCCGGATTTTTTAATGTCGACCTGTACTGCTACTAATGATTGCAATAATGATGGCAATCATGATTACAACAACGATGAAAACGATAACAATAACCATGACCTTTCTGGTGCCATTATCACCATTTCATTCAAATATTCATCAGTCCCATTGCAGCTATCTTCTTCCCAATTTCCTGATCGATCCCCATCAGCCCTTCCCCTGCAACAGACAAACAAACGAACATCGCCCTAACCCTCCCCTTCCTCTCTCCCTTCGGCAGGTGAGCGGTATCAGCACAGAGATCTTCCGCCAAATCGAAACCGTCGAGAACGACCACGATGCGTCGACGGCAGCGGCTCTCGAGGCGGTGGAGCGACGAGGGGAGATGGTCGTGCGCCTGCTGGACCCGCGCACGCTCAGCAAGGGGGCCTACGACCAGGCGAAGCGGTTCTTAGCCCTGCAGGTGAGCTCTTTGGGGTTCTTCGGGTGCCGAGGTGGTGGGGTTTTAGGGGGTCGGGAATTAGGGCGGTAGTGATAAATGTAGGAGAGATAAGGATAATGATAATGAAGATTAATACCGTCAATAGTCACCAGATAATAATGAAGAAATAACAATAATGATGACATCTCATCTGATGAACATATGAAGGAGAATGGGAAATTCCTCAGTGCAAGTCATGCAATCGACGCGAATGCATTGTCATAAGAATCTATATAGTTCTGATAATGAGTAATATCAAGGCGCTAGGTGTCTGTCTTGCATTGTGAAATTATGCATTCTTGTTCCTGTTTTATACGTTAGCAGTCATGAGGTGATATATGTTATGTTATTGATTTTCTTATGGTTATAGAACGGTTGTTGATGTGACTGTTTTTTGCGCAATCAGTTCAGTTTGCGAAGACTATGATTGCCATGAACAATTAAGCTATGAATAGACTGGCAGATTGCGCGCGCTGCTCCCGGGCGCGAGGGCGAGGCCGGCCAGGCCTTTCCCTCGCAAGGCGGGCGCAGCACCCGAAGCGCTGCGGACGCCCTCACTAAGCGCAGTATTTGCCGTTGCAGAATGTGAAGTTTAGCGTGCAGATGTGGATCGTGAAGCGGCCGGGCCAGACCCTCGGCCTGTATTTTGTGTGGCAACGGCGGCCGACGCGGAGGCGCTGAGTCCCGCATCGCTTGACAACAGCGGTGGCTGGGCGGGTCGGCGAGAATCCGGGCCGGTGACCTGTGGTGGGGACGTGACCGCATGCGACGAAGCGCGTTTCATTGTGGGAACACTTGCTGTGTGGCGCGTGTTGGTGGCGTTCCCCGTTCGGTGGTTTCTGATCTCGATGTATCGATTAGACACAGAAATGGTTGTGTTGTAGATGATCTGTGAGTGTTCGTTTCGATCCGGAAATAGTTGTGGTGGGATTGTGACAGAAAAAAATACTTAAGCGCTAGTGTTTCTTGGTGCTACGTGTTCTCTGTCCGCCAGGTTCCCTCTCCGTGCTGTGACGCCTCGGACATAGACTCTTCGACCACCGCTCGCTTCGTTAACCATCTGCGCGCGCGCACCGAGGGGCGCCGCCGTCGCCGTTTTTCGAAGCCGCGCGCACGACGAACCGAAGCCGCCGCCGCTCGGTGGTTCTGTCCCTCAGAAGGGTAGTACGAGGAGGATGGCCGCGTTTTGGATCGCTACCAACAGCAACGGCGAGGATTTTTGTGCTTTGCGGGCTTTGAGGCACATGGAGGGGCTCCGTCCGGGAGCGCCGCCGCGCACCCTTCGCGCCCGCGCCCGCGACGTTAGCCTCGCTCTCGTCGCAGGAATTCGCTCTGCGAGTTCAAGCATACGATTCTGACCGCGTCTTTAACGCCACGCCCGAGAACAGGTCTCGGCGCGTGCTCGGCACAGGGAGCGCGCTGGCGTTGTGTACTACGCTCTACTCGGCATCGCAGTAGGCATGCCGTCCCAAGGGCCGGTGACGGGCGTTGCCCCGAGCTGGGGGCCCCGGCGCGTGCGCCCCGGGCCGCAAGTGGGAGGGGCCATTCGCAGTGACACTAAGGTTTAATCTAAAGTCACATATAAGTTCGAAACCCTAAGTTTCCATCGCAAGTTGTTCCCTCGTCGTGATGATTATGAACTAGCAGCCTCCGGCAGACTGCCGCGCCCACCGGCCAGCGGGTCTGCGTCTGGACGGTTCCGCGCGTACGGCCGCCGCGCAATGGGACCGCCGTCGGCTCGACATTGCGATAGCAGGCTACTTAACCAGCGGCCGCCGCCACTGTTTGATCGACGGGAGCAGCGCGATGGGCCGCCAGTCTAAAGAAACAAGGCCCAGCACCTTCACGCTCGTCAGACAGAGACGCTAACGGCTGACCTCGCAGGAAGACGCTTAGTGACGGTTCGCTGGCGGAGCGCGTGTCGTGACATTCTGAGTTTTACGGGCCGCCTGCGGCCACGGTGCCCTCCCTTTATGGGCTGCGCCGCAGCCTAGGACCGCTTGCCGCGAGCCGGCCCATATGTACGGCTCACGCTGGGCGACCACCACCGGTGGGGCGGCCCCGGCCTGGCAGCGCACGCTCAGCGACCAGGCGGCTTCCGGCGACGGAGCGCGAGAGCCTCAGGCGACTACGAGTGCAGCTGGCCGCGTTCCGCGCGCCGCATCAGAGGTGTTCGTCCACGCTCTGCAGTAGTTACCCGTCGGGGCGCTGCAGGTTCACGGACCGCGCCACAAACTTCGCGAGCGGCTGATCCAAGTGTAGTACTTTGCTGGCGTGTTAAAATAAGTTTTCACTTTGATGACGCACTAATGCGCCCAGAGGACATCGCGCGCCTTCAGTGGACTACTCCTGGCTCTCACGCACCACGGGGAAGTCACGCTGAGCCGGCTCCGTCGCTGGGCTGGCGCAGGTGGAGGGCACCCACCGACGTGCCCGCAGGCGGGGGCCGCGAGCGCGCGCCTTCCAACTGCCCCTGCCGCGCCACTCGCGCACACCGACTCAGCTCTTGCCCACGGTTGGCGCTTTCGAGAGCGCGCGTGTAGGGTCCCGCCCAGTGAGCGGAGACGAATAGCGAGCGGCTGCCGTCAGTGCCCGGAGATGCCATCGAGGTCACCGAGAGAGATAATAGCCGCCATCTCTCTTCTACGCAGTCAATGGTAAGCCCCTTCAGCTTCAGCGCTGCCCACACCGCCACAGGTAACCTGAGATCGCTTGTCGCTCTTCTCGCGCCTCGGTCACTTCTTCGTTCCTTGGATTCGAATAAACCCCGTTCCTCCTATGACCTCCCATGCTCGCCGCTCGAGAAGCGCCCTCCCTTGGCCCTCCGCCATTGCCCGCCCATCTGCCCTCAAGCTCTCATTATCACCGATCGTTGACCTCGATTCCCGGATCACGCTCGTTCATCCCCCCCTCCCCTCCCTCAGGCTCGTCTATTGCTCCTACCTTTCGCAATCGTTGCTACGCGCTCTGTGGCCTTGGCACTCACTCTCACTATCTCACTAAATCTGTGCCCTGAACTGAGTGTGCCGCACACGAGCGTACACATCCCACTTTCGTCACGCGCCGTGGTAATCCCAGCGCAGAGGTAAGATTGTACATCATTGGCATCCAGTATTTGTGGTTCGTTGAGACTGTATCCTATCCCTCACCCGCCTTTGGCTGTTTACGTTGCTCTAAAGTGTTCTTATAAAAAGTCGCACTGTATATGTCAACACATAAATACCTTAATATAATTCACACATCACACATTTATCCATATTTGCCCCTATAATATGTATCTCCCTCAACACACTGAGAAATATCTACATGGTAATACATTAATAGAAAGGACTTTACAGCGACTATCATAATATAAAACTAACATTATTCACTCTTTCATATTTCACACCATACCAGACTTTTTGAAGTGTGAACTTGCATCATATGTGTGCTATTGTGCAATAGTATTCCTTCGCCTTTCTTGAGATATTTTATAGTCGTGGATATCCGGCTCAAAGTGAGGAAGAATTGAAGAGTGATGGAAAAACGCGCCGGGGGAGGGTGTGGTCAATTATGTATTGTACTCTGTTTATTACGACATTCCCTTAATGTATTACCAAATGTTTCCTGGTTTATTTTACCTTGTTAAACCAATGGTGTTTTCGGTCAATCGAGATTGTGTAGATAGGCTAGATTAGATATTAGGAGGATTACAGATTAATTAGAGTAGAGATGATAGAATAAAGAAAAAGATTGATGAGAAGAGATAGAGAGAGTGATTAGTGACATAGTGCCCGAGGAGTAGAAGAACGGAGATGAGAGAGTATGAGACGAGAGAGGGAGGAGGAATGAGAGAGGAAAAAGATTATGAATAATATATGTATAGTAGTAGATAAAGCTATATATATATATTATATATATATATAGTATATATATATATATATAACTATACTTATACAGTATTATAATATAAATTAATATTATAGTATGATATATATATATAAACTTTTTAATATATATATATAGCTGATATATAGTTATTATATATATTAAATCTTACTCATTATAATAGATATATATAGTATATGAGTATATATACTTATTATCTAGTACTACACTATAGTTTATTTATAGTATTATGTGTGACTTATATAACTAAAATTATAAAATCTCTTATATATATATATAGTTATATATTTATCATGTATATATATATTATTATATATAGTTAGTATATAAATATTACTCTTATATAGTATATATGTGTTGGTGTGTGGTGTTGTGAGTGTGTCTGAAAAAGGCGTGTTGTGTGTGATGTGTGTCCGAATTGTGTGGTGTGGTGTGGTGTGGCGGTGTGTTGGTGTGTTGTAATGTGTGTTTCTGGTGTGAGATATTGATTAGTGGGCCTCTGGTTCGCCTTATCCTTGGTTGTGTATAGCTCGTGTGATGTTCTGTGATAGTGTGGTATAATATAATATTAAGATATTCTATTTACATAATATCTATTATGAGAAGTATATTACTACTACGTAAATATATATACTATATTGATAGGTATATATATATTATAACTTTATATATTGTTACTCATATGTATAGTAATATATATATATATATATATACTATATATATATTATATATATATATATTACTATATATATATTATATATATTATACATATACACATACAGAGAGAGAGAGAGGAGAGATAGAGAGAGAGAGCTTAGGAATGAGAGACCAAGTAAAATGTAGCACCATTTGGGAGTTCAAATTTATGATGGCAACTTTGTGACAACAGCTGTACGTGGGATAGCGAAATACTTCGTAGCAACAGATTTTAAATGTACCTGACGTATATGTATATTTCTTACTATTCCACAGAAAATTAAATTAACACACAACACACACACACACACACACACACACACACACACACACACACACCACACACACAACACATACTATGTGTGTGTGTGTGTGTGTGTGTGTGTGTGTGTGTGTGT